CCCCAAAACCCCAAAACCCCAAAACCCCAAAACCCCAAAACCCCGTTTCATTCTATATGACTACTGTTAAAGTTTAACTTAATGTAAGTATTAATCAAATAATGCTCTTAATTATCTATATTCACTATGTATAAATAGTATTTCCATCCTCTCTATCGAGAGAAATTTGATAAATGATTTTATTGGTTGAGAAGACTTCAAGATATTGTGTTCAGTCTATCTGAAACCTCTCTTGTCGAGTATTGCTTATATACTTTTTTGCATTTACTGAATTGCTCCTTGCAATCTTTTTTATGATTTTTATCAGCCATTGGCACATAAGTACCTTCGCATAGCTGAGGGTATTTACTATAAAAGTCTTTGAAGCCTCCTTCTAATAAATAAATCTCGTTGTAAAACAGTTGAGGATAGAAGTCAATGTGTAGTCTTCTATCAATCTCACGGAGAGCCCTGTACATCTTGGGTCCTCTGTGCTAGCTGAACTCACAGTGAAATATTATCACTGTCTATGAGTTCATTAAATTTTCAATATTTGCTTTGTTTTAAAAGAAAAATTCTTCCATCTACTCGGGGGTATTGATATTAATGGCTCCTAGGATATGTCCACCAGCGAACTCATAATCGAATCTACAGTCAATGATGAGTTTGTTGATAGGCCTGGAGTCATTACAAAGATAGAAAAGATTTCCAAGTGCGTTTGGGTCAATAGAGTTAAGTTCAGGATTTCTGCAATCGTCTAAGGTTGGAAGAATTCTGGCATCAGAGTCAATAGAGTATAGATTCTCTGATATCCCTAGAGGTCTGTGACTCGCTTATAATATTATCGGTTACTCGTCCTTAGTTTTTTTTTATTTCTGGATTTTTGGACGCTGAATGGACTGTTTCCTCTCATGCTTCTCTTGCATTTGAATCATATCTATTCTAGAGATTTTCTTGATTCTTCTGCGTCGACCTCCTCCGTTTTCTGGATCGTACTTGAATTCATTTTTCCCTATCTAGTGAAGCAGCTAATCGAGAGGTCTTCTCTCATTATATTCAAATTCCTAGAAATCCTCATCATCGATGTCCTCCTCCTCGTCCATCTCCTAGTCTTCCTTCTATGAATTCATCTACATATTGCATGATTCTTAATCCTGATCAATATAGATGTGAACTTTTGGGAGAGAGTTAGTTTAATAAAGTGGTGGAATGTTTTCTTTATCTTCAAAGAGCCTTTTATTGATTTTCTTGGACATCTGACATTATTAAGGACTGTTGTTTACAGAAAACACGCATTCAAATTGATCATCTGCTGTTCCCACTGATTATGCTGTGATTGTAGTTGTGGCGCTTGAGAAGTTTCTATTCATTTGTTAAAAGCAATCTGTATTTGAGTTACTACTGCTACCTTTGTATTGAATTTAGTAGCATTCATTCATGTGATAGTTACTTGAACCGCAACTGCTGAAATTCTGGTTAGCCTCATCAGGTACTGAAATTCTAGCTTGCATTCCCTATTTCAGCTGAAAAGGATTGCAATTCTGCTGCTTGGACACATGACTGCCATTGCCTAATCTTTTTAGCAGACGGGGTCTTGAGCTAAGTACTTAGTTACTTGAGAAATTGTTGACTTAGCTATGGTTGATTGATTAAAGTCTTTTCAAATTTGAAATTTCTTCCCGCGATTGTTATGAGACATTTTCTAATGTTAAAGCTGAAGATCTTGATGAGTGACTTGAATCTGATTAATAAATAAGGGGGGATTGGTCTCTATCGCCATTGTTTAGCTATTACAGCTTTTTAAACAAGTTATTTTGTTGAAATTGTTGGAAGTCAAATGGTTGCTTTTGAAAATTCATGATTTGAAATAGTAGTTATTTTTATTTAAATTTAAATAATAATTCAATTTACTTAATTTAAATCAAATTTACAGTCATGGGGTTTTGGGGTTTTGGGGTTTTGGGG